GTCTCTCTCATATCAACAGAAGTTAGGTCCAATAAAAGAATATTACCTCTACCCACTCTTTCTTCTCTCTCTCACACACACACACACACACACACACACACACACACACACACACACGCCCCCGGGACCAACCTGGCTTCAACAATACTGCATATAACAATTAAAATATCAGTTAGGACCATGCAAATTAGGAGAAGCTATATAAACAATTTGATCATTGTCAGTGATAATTATATATAAACTTCCAATCTATTTTTACTCAAAGTAATTTGATGTTTTACTCAATGTAACACAGAAGCCTGTTCTGAGAAGGAACAACTGCCTTATCTGTTGAAGGAAGAAAACGTTACCTTGCAAGCAGACCTTGAGTCCATCCACAAGTTCTTGTCCACGATCTTGGAAGACACAGCGAGAGAACCACCTGTTCAGAGAAAAATCAAGAAAAGCAAAGTAACCTATTAAGTTTCTAAATTGATTTAGATTGTAACGAACAATTAATTTTGGCAAGTATGTCCTATAGAGTCAACAGGCAAAAATGTGAATAATCACACTAACTTGAATTTGAGTACCATACATGTACATTGTCTCCACGAAGACACTTGGAGCAGACATGTGCCTTGGGCCCAACTTACAGTTCCTCTTACAGATTCAAATTGAATGTGAGGCTACATAAAGGGACCACGGCCCAGTCTCCCTCAGTTATTTTAGATATTCAAAATAGCTAATGACTCCCTGAGAAGCAGGAAAGAGAATTTTAAATTATAGATCTGCAGAGGTAAAGTAATTTGAGACTGCTTGTTACAGATAAGCCTTCCTTTCTATGTTAAGAATAGTCTCCACTGCTGGGAGACCCACTAGAAGCTACCACCTCCTGGAGAAAAATAATAGAGTATTCTTTAGTCTATCAGTCTGTTTAACTTAGGCCAGAGATATGACAATGAGTGCACTATCTTGCTTCACCTTCCTGACTTTCAAGAAAGACCAGCAATTGATTGGATCACATAGGATACTCGGATGCATCACAATTAAAAAAAAAAACAAAGAAGGGACTTCTTTGGTGAGCTACAGACCAGATTATATGAAGAGAATTATGTATTCCTTGTGGAATGCTGGCCTTGATGAGAGTCTAATGGATAAAAGCAGACATTAAGATAAAATGGCATTGGCTGCCAGTCCTTTTTACAGCCTTGCACTGAACATCTGGATTCACAAGAGGACATACATGCACGCCCAACATACACTGCTTTTAAGTGCTTCAGGAGTTCACAGCACCGAAGCACAAGCTTTAAACCTTCTGTTACCCCACCAACAGTGGTAATTTGAAGAGATTCTCTAACGGTAGTGGGCTGTCTTTCCATTTCCCGTATTCAAAAGCTGTCCTCTTTGATCTTCATTGTATTGTATGCAAACAGACTTGTCAACTTATCCATCATGCAACCGAATAAATCAGATAATAGATTCTACCACAGAGCAGCGGTTCTCAAATTATGAGGCGGCCCTCCCAAGGGAGGCATAGAAATGTGGCAAGAGAGGCATAAGCTGTTTTTTTTAAAATTAATGATTAATAATTATTATTATAAGAGCTCTTGCTGTCAGCCCCAAGGGGCTGGGGCTCGTGCAGAAGGGCTATGCAAGAGCCCCACTACCCAGGCTCTCCCCCCAGCCACCCCCAATCTCTCACTGGGAAGCCGGCGGGACTCTGGCTGCCATGGTGCCAGCAGCAGCACAGAAGTAAGGGTGGCCATGGGACGTTAAGTCTGCTATGAAAAGTGATATTGACAAATATCACTTTTCACATTATCTCCCTTCTATGCTGCTGATGGTGCAGTGATGCCTTCAGAGCTGGTCACCTGGGCAGCAGCCGCTGCTCTCCACTCTGCATTCAGAGCTGGGCAGTAGTATATCTAACTTGAGAGCGGTGTAAACTACTACAGACACAAATAAAGGGGACCCCATCAACTGTGAGAACTCTCTGACAGAGTTATTTACATTTACAATAAAATGCAGTAGGCAGAGAACAGGTGAGGCAAACAACATACATGTCCCTGAACTCAAGGCAGTGTTACATGCTTTTTTAAAAGTAATATTTACACAGCAGTGAACTGGAGAATTAGGGAATTCTCTCTCTTGGTCAGTCAACTTATTCCCTTATTCCTGAAAAGTCTGGAAAATAATGTACAGCTCCTTAATAGTAAGCTAATTAGGAGCTTTTGCCTACACAGTGTTTGTGAAAACATAGTATGAAGTTAACCCAGCATAGACAAGGTTACTTTTAAAATGGCTGCTCATCACATTCGGCTTCTTCTTCAAGATTACAGATCTGTCAAGTTCTTTCAGTTTATACTGAATGCTAAAAAGTATCTTACCGTGTCATTCCCTGATTCAGACTAGCAACAAATCCTGCAATTGATCGCCGCCCAGCTGTAGTGTCATGATAACAGTCAATTCCAACAATCATAACTTGTTTCAACTTTAAGAAAATAGTGCACAGTATATTACAAAAAGTGCAACAACATGCCAAAAGCAAACATTTATCATATCTGCACTAAAGTATTATACACAAAGCACCAACTTCAAAAATAAATCACAGATTTTCACTGTTCAGGATACTGTTTACTTCCAAAATGTTTATTTTATTTTAAAATGACTGTTTTTATGGAGTGCCTACTGCAAGTATCTGAGCTGACAGCCAGAAGCCTACATTTTACAACTGAACTATCCAATGCCTCCAATTGCATCCTCAATTAAAAGTTCTATCAGCTGCTTATTTCCTCATGTATCCTATGAGTTAAGTTTACCCATGTTGGCATTTTCTTTTTGGAAGCAAGTTATTTTGGGTAGGATACACTGCAGGTAAACAACTGAAATTTAGAAGAAGTAAATCAGCCATCTGTTCCCTTTCTGAACACTTGTTTAAAAGTTGTACCAAACAAGTTAAGAAAGTCTTCTAGTATTTTCTTTAAATGTGATCAGAGTTCAGAGGAAAAAAAGACTCAACTGACACAAGGTTAATGAAACAAAGCCAGCTACTTACTGGGATTTCAACACTCCAGAGCTCTCCACCCATCTTGCAGTTCATTTGTAAAGCAATTTTCGTTGCTATAGCCATTACACTTTGTGGCTTGCTTAGAGTGCGAGCTATCACACACTGACTTGGAGTCGGGCAATCAGTACATAAGTATTTCTTGATAGCATCATACTTATCTTTACGATTACTGGATAGAATGCAAACTACCTTAAAAATTAAAATGAAAAGTTTTTAAAAAAAACAAATTACAGCAGAATCAAATTTATTATTTGTTTGAAAGATCCGTTGTATAGTACACAGCTATCACTCCCTTTCCAGCACAACAGAAAAATACCAAGTGTTTTCCGTGAAGTATTTAGACAGTTTGGGTGCTTAAATTCTGGTGCCTAAAACTAATGGTCTGATTTCCAGGGGCGGTGGGTGGTCAACAATTCTATATTTAAACACTGACGCTATCTAAATACAGAAGTTTCTACACACGCCTGGCCTCATAAGTATCATCTCACACTTGGGAGGGTTAGTCACATAACTCCATAAGTGTAAATCCACAGAGCTAATTTCATTATTAGGATATTAATGCAATACATAGCCAAAGGTAGAGATTAACATGCTTTGAAATTATGGAATTAGCATACATACTATCTGTGTGTCAGAGGTAACCTTTTGTTGCAAGACCCTCAAATAAGCTTCTGTTCTATCATCTACTTCAATCCTAAAAAGGGGAATAACAAGAAAATAAAAAGTGATATGGCTGTAGGTAAAGTTATAGTAGCTGGTAAAGCAGCAACAAGAACATAAGCTACCCATGCATCAACAGAAATTAAGTACAAGGTAGTTTAAATTTAAATCTGTTAGCCAAGTTACTATATTCACACTGTACTAAGGTGTTCACTCTACCACTTAACCATTAAAAGGAAACGTTCCTGAACCGAAGTTTCTCGTAAGAATGAAGGAAAATCAAGATTAAAAAAAATAAAAAAAGTCATGAGCTTGACTAAAGGCGACTTTGGTGATACTTTTAAGTTGATTTTAGAAAGGCCGACGATACAGTAACTCCTCACTTAAAGTTGTAGTTATGTCCCTGAAAAATGCGACTTTAAGCAAAATGTTAAGCGAATCCAATTTCCCCCATAAGAATTAATGTAAATAGGGGTGGGCGTTAGGTTCCATGTAAATTTTTTTTGCCAGACAAGAGACATTATATACATATACAGTATAAGTTTTAAACAAGTTCTAATCAGAGGACTGTCTGGGGACCTGCTCATGAGCTCCCTGAGCTTCTCCTAAAGCAACCATGTTGATATCCGGTGGGATATTTCCCAGGGAATGCCTTGCTACTAAATGATGACCTAGCACTCAGCTGAGCCCTCAAGGGTTAACAAGTTGTTGTTAATGTAGCCTCACACTCTACAAAGCACCACCGAGGGAGGCAGGAGACAAAATAGATGCATGGCAGGGACTGCAAACACTTCCCTGCAGAAACTGAACGTGATGATGAACCCACACTATCCCGCTGAAGGGCACCACTCCCTCCTCCAGACAGTGCATGCACGGCTGTGCAGGCATTAATGTGGACACTAGAACAAATGGATATAAACTGGCCGTCGGGAAGTTTAGGCTTGAAATTAGACGAAGGTTTCTAACCATCAGAGGGGTGAAGTTCTGGAATAGCCTTCCGAGGGAAACAGTGGGGGCGAAAGACCTCTCTGGCTTGAAGATCAAACTTGATAAGTTTATGGAGGGGATGGTTTGATGGGATACAGTGATTTTAGTCAATAGGTCGATAACAATGGTCAATGATGGGATATTAAAAAAGTTACTACAGAACTTTTCCAGAAGGTCTGGCTAGAGAATCTTGCCCGCAATGCTCAGGGATCAGCTGATCGCCATATTTGGGGTCGGGAAGGAATTTTCCTCCGGGGTAGATTGGCAGAGGCCCTGGAGGTTTTTCGCCTTCCTCCGCAGCATGGGGCAGGGGTCGCTTGCTGGAGGATTCTGAGCGACTAGAAGTCTTTAAATAATGATTTGGGAGTTCTACAGCTAAGTCAAGGGAGAGAATTCTTACAGGAGTGGGTGGGTCAGGTTTTGTGGCCCGCATCATGCGGGAGGTCAGACTAGATGATCATAATGGTCCCTTCTGACCTTAGAGTCTATAAGTCTATGAGTTAACTTTCCAAAGTGCGGTGGGGTGCTCAACCCCAGGCCCACCCCCACTTTACCCCCTAACGCTAACCCTCCAGCCTCCTGAACACCGTGAAACAGCTGATTGCTGCGGGTGGGAGGCCTGGGGAAGGAGGGCGGAGTTGCTGATCTGCGGGCAGGCGGCACTGGGGGAGGTGGAGTGGAGTTGATAGGGGGGCTGCCGGCCCACCTTGGTTCCAAGCCCCCACTCGCTAGCAGGCGGCGGCCAAACAACATAAGCAAACATTGCGCAACTTTAAATGAGTATGTTCTCTAATAGATCAGCAACGTAACAATGTTAACCGGGATGATGTTAAGTGAGGAGTTATTGTACACTTGAATTTGTGCTGCTGCTGCTCCTGTTTATATTAGAGGCAGCCCCACCCATTAGGATAGTTAAACTTTCGACATCCAGCAGAATCCTTCTAATCAGTAGCACCTTCTCTAATCCTCAGTTAAAGCTTCCAGGGACTGAAACACTAGCTCCAAAACCTAATCTTTTCATTAAGTAATTAACCATCTGAAATTGGGATCTCTGGAGCACTTTGGATAAACAGATATATAAACTTTTTTAATTGTTATAGAAATATATAATATTATAACTCTTTCCTCATTTAACACATGATTATTGAAAAATTCAAAGAACTAAAGGAGTTTCTGAGCAAGTTATTTATCACATTTCTACAGTACTTACATAATTGCCTTGTTCATTTGGATGCCCATGGCTGGTGTGACTTTAAATAGATTTTGAACTAATGCATTGGCAGCATCATAATTGCGCCGTGTGTATATTAATAACCAGTTATCCAGTGGTTTTACACTAATTAAGGGAGCTCCCCTAGTTTCTTTTGACCAGTCTGCAAATTGAGGATTGTAGTCAAACTGGAAATGAAAAAGGGATTAAATTAAGTCCTGCTGGAGCAAAACTAACTTTCACAAAATCTATACTTAATACACTCCAGAATATAGCAACATCATCTGCCTTTGCAGTTCCAGCTGATCAAAAATGAGAATTTACAAAAGTTTCCCATAAAACAAATTTTAAAAAAAATTCAGTTTCAGAAATTTCTAATTTTGGAATTCTGAATTTCTGTTTTGAATTTTTACATTTTAACATTTATATTATTTAATGACATGAGTAAGTAGTAGGGCATAATATGAAAAATATCCTATTTGTTTTATTTTTAAAATCATTAGAGACAGCAGCCACTTAGTATTGATTGAAATATTTTTTCTTTTCTAGATCAAAGTCTCCTGTTTGTGCAGTAATGAAAATGTGACAATTTGATCTAGAAAAAGATAAGATGTTTCAATCAGTAATAAGCAGCAGCTGAAATAAAATTTAACTACTATGTCATAACATGTTGGTAGTAGTGTATAACATGCACTACTGTTCTGTTCATTCCCTGTGCAGCATCTGGAACTGGCCACTGTCCGAAGACAAGATAATGGGTTAGATGGACCCAGTCTGTCGGACCCAGTATGGCCATTCTTCTGGCTTGAATTGGGATCAGGAGTGGCTGGCTCTCTACAAAAGCAATTTTCACTCTCCTGGTATTGACACATCATCATCAATTATTGGGAGTGGACCACAACCACCGTGACTGAATTGGCCCTGTCAACACTGGTTCTCCACTTGTAAGGTAACTCCCTTCTCTTCCGTTGTCTTTAAGGTGCCACCGGACTCCTTGTTGTTTTTGTGGATACAGACGAACACGGCTACCCAGATACATAAATAGGTAGTGAGTCTGGTTTACAATGAACCTAATAAACCTCCTGTGACCTTGGGAAAAAAAAAATCAGGATGTGAAAAAAAGTGTCTCTCAAGGCAAGGGTGGCATACCAGACCCCATATCCAGGGAGGGGATGATCAAGGTCAGGGAGACCATGTGGAACATCAGCTTTTTGAGGTAGCCATTGAGACGGCGCAGGTCTAAAATAGGTCAGAGACCGCCCTTGGCCTTTGGAAATAGCATGAGTAAAACCCTTTCTCTCTTAAGTCCTGTGGAACTCCTTCACAGCTCACAGAAGGGCTTGCACCTCCTGGGCCAGAAGTTGCTTGTGAGAAGGATTCCTGAAGAGGGAGGAATGGGGAGGGAGGGTGTGTGGAAATAAACTGAAGCATATAATCCCTTTCCACAGTGTTCAGCATCCAGCAATCCGTGGTGATACGAGACTATGCCACGCCGAAGTGGGACAGGCAGTTGAAAACAAAAGGGAGACATAATCCGGTGGCAAGGGAAAAGACAGTTACTTTTTCCATAACTGGCGTTCTTTGAGATGTGTTGCTCATGTCCATTCCACAATAGGTGTGCGTGCTCTCCATGTGTACCAGTGCCAGAAGTTTTTCCCCCAGCAGTACCTGTAGGGAAGTGCCCCTAGCGACCCCTGGAGTGGTGCCTTTATGGCACGGTATAAGGGGCGCTCCCCCCACCCTCAGTTCCTTCTTGCCAGACAATTCTGAGAGAGGGGAAGGAGGGCGGGATGTGGAATGGACATGAGCAACATCTCGAAAAACACCTGTTACAGAAAAGGTAACTGTCTTTTTTTTTCTTCAAGTGATTGCTCATGAGCATTCCACAATAGGTGATTCCGAGCTGTATCTGTTGGAGGTGGGTAGGAGTGCCCAGACTCTTGGGATGGAATACAGCCCTGCCAAACCCGGCGTCCTCCCTGGTTTGGGAGACGATCGCATAATGCGAGGTGAACATGTGAACCAAAGACCATATGGCAGCTCTACAGATGTCCTGAATGGGAACATGGGCTAAAAAGGCAGCCGACGAGGCTTGTGCCCTAGTCTAGTGTGCCCTCACAATCGGCGTTGGGGGGACTCCTGCCAGATCGTAACAGGTACGAATACACAAGATGATCCAGTGGAGAGCCGCTGAGTGGAGATCGGCCGACCCCTCAAGCATTCGGCGAGGCGATGAACAGCTGCGAGGACTTCCTGAACAGCTTAGTACATTCCAGGTAAAGAGCCAGAGCCTGTCTCACATCCAGCATGTGGAGGCAGCGTTCCTCACTGGATGTATTGGGCTTGGGTCAGAGCACCGGCAGGAAGATGTCCTGACCCATGTGGTAGGCGGAGACCACCTTGGGAAGGAACGAAGGATGTGGTCGGAGCTAGACTTTATCCTTGTGGAAAACTCTGTACGGCGGCTCAGAGATCAGGGCCCTGAGCTCTGAGACCCGTCTAGCTAACGTGATCACCACCAGGAAGGCTACCTTCCACGAGATGTGCGACCAGGAGCATGTGGCTAACGGCTCAAACGGGGGACCCGTCAAACGGGCCAGCACCAAGTTCAGGTCTCACTGCGGGACCGGGGGCCTGACATACGGGAAAAGCCAATCCAATCCCTTGAGGAATCAGCTGGTCATAGCATGGGAGAATACCGTGTGGCCCTTCACCGGCGGGTGAAAGGCCGATATGGCCACCAAGTGCACCTTGACGAATGAGGGTGCTAGGCCCTGGGCTCTAAGGTGAAGGAGGTACTACTAACTATGAACGAGCAAGAGTTCAAGAGGAAAGCTGCAGCCAAGCTGGAGCAGAGCAGTTCTGATACACCTTCACTGGTGACAGGAAGGAACTGAGGGTGGGGGGAGCGCACAGCGCCCCTTATACCGCACCATAGAGGTGCCACTCCAGGGGTCGCTGGGGTGCTCCCCTACGGTACTGCTAGGGGAAAAACTTCCAACACTGGTGCACGTGGTGAGCAGACACACCTATTGTGGAATGGACATAAGCAATCACTCGAAAAAACTGGTATAACACCCTCGGGTGTCCCATCAAAAGTTCTGTTTGGCTGCTCCCACACTCCGCGCCCCCCCCCCCTTGCTAAGCACTTGGGGGTACCCCTGCATCAGACCCACAACCAGATAGGACTAGTGGGGTACTGTGATTTCGGGATACGAGTGCACTTCCAAATCAGACAACAAGCCTTCCTCCGGGCACACCATGGAGAGGGGTGCCAGGGAACGGTGCCAAGACATTGGAGACCTGCATCAAGGCCAGCAGGGATGGTTTCCCTCTAGATGATACTGAGAGACCTTGTACCCAACAGGAGCTCAGGGCAACATGGTCCCTTCTGCTCACCGACATTGCCAACTCTTACACTTCCAGCAATGGCAGTACCGAAAGTCCAGCAAGTCCCTGGCTGCAACGAACGCCTATCGGGTAGACAGTACTGCAATCTTGCTGGTGTCCCATTGTCCCTCCAGCACCAAAAGGAGGAGGGTCGTAGAGCCGCCTCCATTAGGAGGGATTTTAACCTGGCCTCCATGTTCTTTGTACAGGGCCTGAATTGCTGGCAGAGCTGACAGTGATACCTGATACGAGTCTCTCCCAGGCACTTCAGACAACTGCAGTATGGACTGCTCACAGGCTTGACACAGGAGGCACAGGGCTAAAAGCCCAGAGATCAAGGTATGCCCTGGCACCGGGAGTGAACTTAAACTCAATTAGCACAGCAAGAAGCACTAACTATGTACAACAAAGTTCACAACTGTCCAAACTAGAAATAAAGAGCTAGGACAAAATGAACAAAGGGAAGGCAGTAAACTAAGACCACAGAGAAGAGTTATCACTGAGGACAGCTTGCCAAAGCAAGAGAAGCAGTTCCAGTGTCGGTCACAGGCGGTAAGAAGGAATGGAGAGGGTGCAGAGACAGCCGGACCCCTTATACCAGTGCATGAGCACAAAGCCCCAAAGGGTGCTAGAGCTAACCCAATATGTACCACTGAGTGAAAAATTTCCAGCAACTCTGCTCGCGGTATGCACACACCTAATGTGGAATGGACATGTGCAAACACTCAAAGAAGAATACCTGGCTAGGTGGTTTACTACCTAGCAGGATCTGGGAGTTATAAATATAAGAACGGCCATACTGGATCAGACCAAAGGTCCATAAAGCCCAGTATCCTGTCCTCTGACAGCTGCCAATGGCAGGTGCCCCAAAAGGAATGAACAGACAGGTTATCAAGTGATCCATGCCCTGTCACTCAATCGCAGCTTCTGGCAAACAGAGGCTGGGGACACCATGTTCACAGTTATAGTGGATCACAAATGCAATATGAATCAAGACTGTGATGCAGTTGCAAAAAAGGCTAATATTCTACGGTGTATTAACCGGAAAGTTGTATATAAGACACAGAAGCTAACTGTCTCACTCAACTCAGCACCGGTAAGGCCTCGGATGGAGTACTGTGCCTAATTCTGGGAGCCACATCTTTCCTAAAGTGTGAACAAATTGGAGAGAGTCCAGAGGAAAGCAACAAAAATGAAAGTACGTTTAAAAAAACAGACTTAGGTTTAACCAAACCAGAGAACAGGTTAAAAAACTGCTCGTTTAGTCTTGAGAAAAGACGACGACTGGGGGTGGGGGTGGGGGAGAGGACACACTCAATAATAGTCTTTATATATGCGAAGGGCTGTTATAAAGAGGACCGTGATCAATTGTTCTCCATGTCCACTGAATGTAAGACAAGTAGTAATGGACTTAATCTTCAGCAAAAAAGAGATTTAGGTTAGATATCAGGAAAACTATCCTTATAGTTAGAAAATGTAAGCACTGGAATAGCACTGCTCATTGGGGGTGGAAGTTTTTTTGTCGGCAGGAGATCCGACAAACAGCGGCTACACTGCCTGACTTTTAGCAGCAGAGCTGTAGCAACACAGCTGTGTCGCTAAAAGCTGTGTGGTGTAGACAAGTTTACTCTGTGCATTTGAAAATACTTTGGTCAACTTCTCGCTTGCTAATAGAACAGGAGTACTTGTGGCACCTTAGAGACTAACAAATTTATTAGAGCATAAGCTTTCATGGACTACAGCCCACTTCTTCGGATGCATACCTTCGGATGGAATGTGCATTCGGATGGAATGCATCCGAAGAAGTGGGCTGTAGTCCACGAAAGCTTATGCTCTAATAAATTTGTTAGTCTCTAAGGTGCCACAAGTACTCCTGTTCTTTTTGCGGATACAGACGAACACGGCTGCTACTCTGAAACCTGTCCCTTGCTAATGAGGCTCTTTTATAGAACTGTGAGCAAAATAACCCTCAAGAGATTTTTAGTGGAACTTTAAAAAAGTTCTGGGACTACTATTTAGAGGGTGCTCTCTAAAAAACTAAATTTCTTGATGTTTTTAAAAAATTTTGAATAGACATTGAGTGCCCCTTTAAAAACATGTTTTGTTCAAAGATGTTCAATTTATTAAAATTAAATATTTACCACTTTTCCCGCTTGATGAATTTTTTCTGCTTGAACAACTCTTGCCGTAAAGGATAGTAAATTGGAATCAAAATTCAAACCCCAGTCACGAAGTTCCTTCTGAACATTATCATCCCTGTTAAAATTTAAAAAAAAAATCATAAAACCATTAATCACCTAGTGAGAGTCAGGATTTCTGGCTAAATTGTAATGTATTTTGTAGTTGAAGGGAAAGATTTTTCCAGGATCAAAGTGACAACATTCTCCAGTAAAAGTTGACAGGAGCTTAAAAAAAAGTCCACTGATTCATAACCAAAAAGAAAACAACTTTAATAAAAGCAAATCCCTTCATTCCCAAAGAACCAGAAGTTTTGAAGTAACTTACCTGTGAATGTAATCAATGAGTCTTCCAACTTCACACTGTCTTTGCTCAGGTGTCAGTCTTGTATGAACAGCCAAGTCTTTCATTACATTAAAATCGCTACGCATCTTATCAGTCAATCCTAAAATTAGCAAAATCCTTTTAATGAAGATTGGTCTTCAGTTTATTTTGAACATAGAGCCACGGAAAGCTCAATAAAATACTTAGCAAGGAGACAGCTATTACTCCATTTTCTAGAAAACTGGAGATATGCTGTACACTTAGTGGCACATATGAAAAAGCATGGGGAATATATTAATTTTTTGCAGTAAGTTACCTGTCACCAAGAATCTAAAAACATCATTTGGCTCCACACATCTGTCTCAGACCACAGTTCATGCCAATGCATAAAAGACTGCACTATGCCACCTAAACCACAAATCTAAACTTTTTTTTTTTTTAATTAAACAAATGTAGAAAATCTTGTCTCCTCTGCACAGCACTGGAGAAGTCACCACCTTCATTGACTCACATAGGAAGTTAAAAAGTTAACAGTGTTTCTTTTAAACTGCCACTACTCCAACTGGTATCTGAAAGAAGTGGTGTTCTTTTTGGCTTCAAAATCACTAAGGAAGATTTTAAAACTGAAATTTAAACAATGTTTATGTGCAACTAGGAACAGTATGTAGCTCACACATAATGGACTCTGCGGTGTTAACAAGAGTAAGTAAAAACAAAGCAGCAGTGACAAAAAGCAAACATGATTTGAATACACAAGCTAGATTCATCAAACAAGGGTGATGTTAGCTTGCAGAGTCACTGACGATAATTGCGCTTAATATATTCCTCTTCTGTCCAATTATATTTTGGAAAGGCTAGAGTTACTGAAAGAAGGGGAAAATGTTTTTAAGGAGGAAGTCTTAATTATAGAGGGGCATAAATGTTTGAATTTTGTGAAGTTAAGGATTTACACGCTATTGTAAATGTTTAGCTAAATTTTAGAGACGCAAAAGCGGATGAGGCAATATCTTTTATTGGACCAACTTCTATTGTTGAGATAGACAAGCTTCTGAGCTTACACAGACCTGCAGAAGAGATCTGTGTAAGCTCAAAAGCTTGTCTCTCTCCCCAACGTAAATTGGGCCAATAAAAAAAAATATTACCTCACACACTGTCTCCGATATCCGAGGACTGACAGTAATGCATAATAGCTAAAATTTAACACACAAACCTCTAATTAGTACATTTACACGTTTCATTTTCAAAACCTATGTTTATACCAATGAATATTCCTGCTATTTCATCAAAAAGTTGTCATCAATCCATCACATAGTCGCAGGAGAAAGATATATTCTAATACAATTCGCATGGTGGGTACTTCTGTATAGAGATACTATTAATACAATACCTGTGAGGTAGCACAGTTCAGGAATGAGTACCGCAGGTCCTGGCATTCCTGGCCCTCTCCTCCTCTTAGGCTGACTGACCAAAACTGGTTGATTCAAGTCAGTGATTTCTTGGTTATACTGCTGTATAGAAATTACATAGTACACTTTAGTCATAGACATCCAGTGCTTCTAGGAGACTAATGAACATCTCACTTTTTGCAAAACATTCAACCATTAACAAGTAGAGATACCAATATCTTTAATTTTGAAACAAGCCAGATACTCAGGTCTAGCTAAAATTTTCTCCATACAGTTACTGATAAGGTCAACTGTGTAATCCACATATTAAGGAGCAAGCCACATTTGGAAACACATTACCTAGTGGTACTGACTGTGTATCAAATGCATAGACTGAGCACTTTTCCCCAGACTTTTTCCAAAGCTGTGAAATTGACAAGAAAGCTGGTCATCTAGAGCCCAGCTGCACCAGCTGGGAGGCTCCCCACTCAGCTCAGCTCCCGGCGGAGCTGTGTACTGAGTGCCTTGGCTCTCAGCCCCCCAACACTACCACTTTTCAGTGGGTGGAAGCACTCATGGTGAGGATGTGCACCACCAACATAAGGAGGGTAGTGTGGATATAAGCCACTGCAGTAATGACTACCCTAACTTCAATAACTAGATAGAATTAGAACTTGCACAGTGTACAGAGAAGTGGACACTGCTGATGTTTGGTCTTGCTGCCACAGATATTAAAAAGGAGCCGAGGTATAGCTGGGCCTGCTCCATCCTGGGTGGAAAGGGATACAGGGATGTCCACGGCGCAGGCACAGACCCAACGGATACTGCTATTAAAAAAATTTCACTCACACACACACTGGCATCAGGAGTGGAAGGGGACAGAATTAACTTGAAAACCCCAAACCTCTTGTTTGAAAATTTTGTACCCACTTGTTAAAAGTATTACCTTTGATTACTATAGCAAAGAATTTACCAAAAAACAAACACTTAAGTTGATTTACTTTGTGCATTGGACAGCACCTTCTTTCTGATCAGTTTCACTATATTCCTGTGCAGTCAAGTTAGTCTTGCTGAAAAAAAAGACGTTAAGTTGTGGAGCAGGGAGGAAAAACAAAACCCACCTTTAAAAAAGTTTAACAGGATTTTTAAAACACTTCATGACATGCTATTTAAAATGTAGGTGGGCCAGAATTTTTTGGAATTACTATTTTTAAAAATAGATATACAGTTGACAGTGCCCCTTTAGTAATCCTAGAAAAAGGAACATATTTAGTGGATTTTTACAATAGTTGACATTGTTAACAATGACCACAGGTGTATGATTCAAGACACTCCTAAGAATTTGGACAACTAGAAATCACTTTGAAGCATGGTTAGTTGTTTACGTAACACCTGAAAGTAAAAAAAGTATCATGCATAGTCTTCGGATAGAATGCTAATGAATTAGTAATAGCGATCCACAGATGATGCTCTGAAGTTCAACAAAAATCTAGTAAGGAGAATAAAAATGTCATTTTCAGTTATAATTTCATACCATTTTGTAGTAGTCTACAAAGCTGATTTCAGAACCGTCTGCTTTCTTAAAGGTGCATTTTGGATTGGAATCCCAGTCAATATCATCAACTCTGTATGTTTTGTTGTTATACCTGAATAAAAGAATTTTTAAAAAGTTATTTTGATCTTGTCTTGCATGGAGATAGTAACAGTTTATTCACAGGTGCCTGGAAACAGGCCAGGGAGGACGGAGAGAAATGCAGAAAGTTACAAAAAATATCAATTAATCTAAAATTTGAATAGAAATTTTGTTACTTTATTGCTGATTGTATCAATTGTAAGCTGAACATGGAAGTTACTCCTTAGCGTCAAATGCAGTTTATGTTAGAATACACTGAGAACTGATTTTAAGTATGTCAGGAAGCAGATAGTGTATGAAATTAACTGTCTATACACCAATCAACTTGGTTTAGCCATTAACTAGAGCAGGGGATTAAGAGCTTTTTTAGCTTCATGCCTTCTGATAGCCACTTGTTCCCTGCAAAATGTGTAACACCCCAGAAAAGTCTCGGGAAAGAAGTAGGCTCAACATAACGGAGCCTGCATCTACCATGATGACACAAGATCTCATCTTGGGCCACTAAGGGTTGGTCTACATGGGGGGCGGGAGGGGGGAAGGAAATCGATCTAAGATACGCAACTTCAGCGACGAGAATAGCGTAGCTGAAGTCGACGTATTTTAGATAGACTTACCTCCCGTCCTCATGGCTTGGGATCAATGGCCGCGGCTCCCCCGTTGACTCCGCTTCCGCCTCTCGCCCTGGTAGAGTTCCGGAGTCAACGGGGAGCGTGTTCGGTGATCGAAATATCGCGTCTAGATGAGATGCAATAAATCGATTCCCGATAGATCGATTGCTACCCGCTGATCAGGCGGGTAGCAAAGACGTACCCTAAGAGTCCTCTTTTGCCACATGAAGGCCTAAAACCAGTTTAAATTGGCAAGGCTGGGTTGAACATTTGAAGAGTGTTTATATTACATGTAAAAATCATGTAATACTAATGGAATTAAAACTGTTCCAGTATCAGTAAGTCAGTGCCAAGAATAAGTCTAGATTTTTTTCTAAATGCTTAAAATTTACTTTATCTGCAAAGAGGAAAGAGAGACAGTCTTAAAATATGAAGTATTAAACCAGCTGTTTGAAAAAAAAAAAAAATCTAGCCCCAAGACCCCAGCAAAACTTCCACTGTAAATAGATACACACTGCACCTGCTATAGTTAAGATTAGCTTGTGAAAATCCCAAAATAACTTCTAAAATATTAGATTTTCAAGGTATTTAGGCACCTAGAGATACAGATAGGTGCTATGGGGATTTTCAAAAGCACCCAAGCAAGTTGGATGCCTGAAAATCCCATTAGGCATCTATCTGCATCTCTACGCACCTAAATACCTTTGAAATAGTCTGTGCCTCAGTTACAAAATAGCATTAATGGTCACAGTTTGTACTTTAAAAATAAATCACTATCACCTTACTTTGTAAGAACAATTAGCCCTATCAGTTCCTTAGCACAAGTTTCTCTAAATCTTTGTTCTTCAACCTGCTTATACAGGTTGTACATAAAATCCCACACAGTTTCACTGCGGAGAACTTTATGGCTCACATCCGTACACAACATGATGTTTGTTTCATACTGGAGAATAGAAGTAGTGAAGCCTGGCCAAATCATCAACCTGTTGGAAAAGAACAGAATATTTTATAACAGAAATTGACTTTTCATATACCCAAGAGTGCTACCAATTTGTTCTATAGATTAATGATAATCAAGTTTACCTTCATTCGTGTTATAGAACCTCAAATTAAAGATTTTTAATAAGTTAAAAATGTCAACGAGTCATTTGTTTTGATTTAAATACTGCCTTATGCCATCTGCAACTCAAATATTGCAGTGTCAAGTTATAAGAAACTTACCAAAGATAATTCATTCTGAAGTGGAAAAGTAAATGGTGGAGAGATTTAGAATTCACTTTAGCACGATCAACTAAGGAATTTAATAAAGGCATATTCTAACATAAGCAGTCCTCTAAAATACCTCTATCCTTTATTTAAATATTCTCTCTTTACATCTCTCCCAGCATCTGGAAAATCATGAAAGATCTAGCACTAAGACTACAAAATCACCTATTGAAAGTAACTGGAAAATAAATGCCTTAAATATCACTACTTTGTACACAAGTCTACAAGATACTATTTGCTTATATTAGAATGTTAATTTTTTTGTTTCCTATGTAGCAGATTTTAAGAAAATACTCAAAGGGGCTCCATTTCAGTTGAAAATAAGCCTTAGAAATATACAGATAAGACATTTTGTGTTTTACTCAGCTGCTTAAGTAGAACACACAAGGATGGATCTAGATCAACTCAGATTTTATAGTTACCCCATAGTTAGAAGGAACTGAAAGTTAGGTACATGAGGTCTCAATGCAAACTATATACGCTGAAAAAAATCATTTTAATACATGATAAATCATTGAAGTAATATCAAAAGATCATTTCTCCCTTGCAAGACTTGTAATCCCATTTTCCAACCTGTGATTGGGAACGCTGATTGGGTCACTTGGATTGTAATAATTACGTCCAATTTGCTGCAAGTTCATTATTTTCAGAAGCCTAAAAAGAAGTTGGGAACGAATGAGTAATTGGCAAATAATTGCACTATTTAGTTTATCAAAACATCCAAAATACTGTAGGCATGCGTTTAGAGCTACATGCCTTGCTTTTGCTATATTAAGCTAGAACAAAGATACTGATGTAGAGTTTTGTTTCAATGTGAACTTTAAATAAATGCTTACTGTTTGGGTATTACTTAATCTTTCAGTTCTTGTAGTAAAACTAATTAAGAACAAGTCTCCCTATCGTGGGCTGAGTCACATGCCTCCTGACAGCAGCCTCAGCAGGTCCCCCTTCAGATGAAGGCATCAAAATGAGCAGAAAGACCAGGTCACATACAGAAACATACCAGTTTCAGAGGCCCTGCACTGCCATCCAGGCCTTTAAGAATAAGCTAATGCCCCCGGCAGAACAGAAATTTTTTGCAGAGCTCCCACCCAGGACTGTGTTAACTTCTGAGGCTACTTGTTATTCTTGAATATGGAAGCACCCTATTTCAAAGTGGTATGCCAACAGATATATCTAATCACTTGCCAAACTGTAGCTGGTTATGATTAGCATCCATATTGGATAACTGACAAAGCATTTTCCTTTGGCCACCATAGATAAGGAATAAAAAAATTTAATATTTGCCATGAGACTAGCACTTAAGCCTTCCCATTCCCAAAGATTAAAGCCAAACTTTTCAATTAGCTTCCTGTAAGAAAGATAAGAATTGTAAAATAAAAAGCTAACCTTCTAAAAATAATGTTGTAAAACTGCAAGCATGTAGGTGAAGTAGGTGGTAGCTCATTGGTCAAGGTGATAGTAATCTTGACATTCTCTCCATTTCGGGTCTGACTGAACACTTCAGTAACCTAACAAAGGGAGCATTTATTGAAGTTATGTAAACATAAGCTATGACTGATTTTTTCAAAGCAGTCTAGAAAATGTAGCCCTATATTCCATTAATTTTTATGCTTAAACCCCCTAGGATGGCTTTGTAAGTCTTAACCCAGTAATATTATGATCAGAATAACTCTAAATCCTTACAGTAAAGCTACAAGTAATCAGTCTGCCATGAGTACACGGTTGAGGTGTCAGAATGCCCGTCCTGTTTTGCTTCCTTCCACCCATCTGATTCCAATCCTCCCCATCAATCTTGCTCCAGACTTCGAGCAGGACTTAGTGAATCGCTAAGAGGATTCTGTAAGTTAAGTACCTGTACAGTAACTGTGGTACTTAAGAGATGTGTTGTGCACATATATATTTCACTTCTGATGTGTACGCACTCACGCCAGTAGTTGGAGATGCATATCCTCATTCCTTGAACTGAGGATATAAAAGGGCAGAGCTGCCCCAACCCCATCTCTATTCCTTGGCACCAGACTCCTGATGTAATTAGACTGAGTAGCGGGAACAGACAACAGGCTGTGGAATATGTATGTGCACAACACACATATATTCCACTTTAAATTGCCAAGCAGTAGTTAAAGTGGAGGTGGGTACTCTGAGGTTACTTGAACAAGGATCAAAGAATAGAATTCCCAAATTTGGCATCTGTTCTCAAAGCCTGAACAGTGTGTTTCATGATTGTGTGAACAGATTACCATGTTGCTGCTCTGCAGAGGTCTAGAAGAAGCATGTTACTGAGAAGTTCATGCTCAATCCAAGTGTGCTCCCCAACCTGTGCTGGAATGGTCTGCCACTAATGTCTTTAAAGGTAAAGGTAAAGAAGGTAAAAAGGGTACCTTCCCACTTGCACACATCTTCCAAATTCATCGACCAGTTTAATTATAAGACTTGCACCAGTATGTGAATTAGCATGTTCAAAGAATATCTACTTGGACAACATACAGACTTCAACCTGCTTTGCATACACTGCAGGTGTAGACTGGCATTCAGTGTCACATATATGCAGGATGTCACATGTAACCGAGCAACCCATGTTCTGACTGTTGACAAATGAGAGTGGAGACTAGCATACAGGGAGAAGAGGGAATAAAATCTCTCCTGAGGAAAGTAAGTGGTTGCAGTTAGCAAGTTGTGAAAATCTGATGAATTCAATTCCCTGCCCTAGAGTCAATAAGGATTTGTCCCTTTTTATTTTCTGATCCAAGTGATTGAAAAGACACTGGAACTGACAAGTATTCCCTGTGAATTGCTGGCAGAAGCAGCCACAGATTAACCAGTCACCCAGATAAGGGAATTCCTGGATGCTCACACGCCTTAGATAAGCTGCTAGTACTGCCACGCACTAAGGCCATGGCTACACTGGCGGTGTACAGCGCTGCAACTTGCTGCGCTCAGGGGTGTGAAAAAACACCCCCCTGAGCGCAGCAAGTACAGCGCTGTAAAGCGCCAGTGTAATCAGAGCCTGCAGCGCTGCACGCTCGCAGTGCTGCAAGCTATTCCCCTCGGAGAGGTGGAGTACATACAGCACTGCGAGAGCTCTCTTGCAGCGCGACTACACTTGCGCTTCACAGCACTGCCGTGGCAGCCCTGTGAAGTCCTGAGTGTAGCCAAGGCCTTAGTGAAAAGTTGAGGTACTAATGATAGCTCAAACGGTAAGAGTGTATATAGGTAATGATATTTTCCCCCACTGTGAATATAAGGCATTTTCTGTGGCAGGGTAGAATGGCCACATGAAAATAAGCGTCCTGCAGATTGACAGCGGCATACCCGTCATTCAAGTTGAGGGAAGGAATGAGGGAGACCAGGGACACCATCCTAAAACTTTTTTTATTAAGACGTTCAGGTCTCTCAGATGTAGGATGGGCCTTAATCCCCCCCTTTATTTCTGAAGGTAAGTCGCAAGAATAAAATCCTTTTCCTGATGTTGTGGGAGGGTGGCACCTCGATAGCACCAAGACTGGGAAGAGCCTGCACTTCTTGAAACAATGCAATCTGGTGAGTGGGGGTCCCTGAATAGGAATGGTTAAGGGCAGAGACTGAAATGGTGTGCTGTATCCCAATTCCACATCTAGAATCCAGCGATTTGAGGTGATGGTGTTTCAGACACTGCAGAAATGGTACAATTGCTTCCCAAATGGGTTTTGAACAACTGAAACTCTGTTCCTGAGGAGGCAGTCAAATCTACTGTTTAGATGACTGCTGCTGGTGAGAGATTACTGAGGCAGGAACAGATAACTACCTCTGACTTGGGAATTTATGCCTCTTCCTTGCCTGTTCAGGCTGCCTTGGTGCATAAGAGTGTGATTGGTAGTAAAGTTGAGGCCTATACTGCTTCCTTGTGAGTGAAAGTACATACACCCCCAAATACATTATGGTTGCACAAGAATTTTTAAGGGTGTGCAAGGCCTTAACCTTCTTAGTAGTAAGACAGACATCTCCCTCAAAGGGAAGGTCCTCAATAGTTGTCTCCACTTCCTTAGGGATACCCAAAGTGTTCACCACAACACCCTTCTCATTACAATGGCTGTGACCACAGATCAAGCTGCTTTCTCTAGTCCATTGAGAGCTGCCAGAAGAGATGTTCTGGAGAAAAGCTAGCCCTTGACCACAACAGACTTGAGCTCTTCAATTAGCTCCTCTAAGAGTTTCAGGGAATAGAGAGAGCGCTCCACTTAATAAAATTGTATTTTGCAACAATCACCTGATAACTAGCAATCTTCACAGTCAAGTAACTTTCTTCCAAGCAAACCCAGTTTTTTTCCCCTTCATCCCTGGGAGTAGATTTTTGCTCACCTTGTCTTGTCCACTACTGGATGCCATTATTACCAAGGACCCCAGCATAGGAAAAACTGTTTTTGTGCCAGAACCTGACAGCAACAGTCAGCCTTATTCAAGGTGGGTGCTATAGAGACAAGAGTTTGCCATAGTACGTTGGTGGGAACCTACAGCCCCTTATACATAGGGTGCACCACTTGACCAGGGACAGCACAGTGTAAGGGCTCCAGGACTCTACAGTGCTCTCCTGAATGACCTCCAGAGATAGCTCTAATGCTGTAGCTGCTCTCCTCGTCAACTCTTGGAATGCTTTGTAGTCCGCAGATAGGGATGGACTAGAATCAGCCCAACTACCTCACCCACTGACAAAGATGATAAATCCGAATGCATCTTGTGCTGGTCATTTTCTAGCTCCTCCTCAGGCTGCACCTTGGAAACTGGAGGGTGTGAAGGTAATTGAGTGGAAGGAACCTCCTTTGAAGGCTGAGGTAACCAAGGCCTCAACTCATAGGCGCCGACTCTGTGGGTCCTCCAGGGCTGTAGCACCCACAGGGGAAAATTGGTGGGTGCTCTGCACCCACCGGCAGCGCCCCACCCCATCCCAGCTCACCTCAACCTCCGCTCCGCCTCCTCCCCTGAGCATGCTGCTTCTCCCCCTAGCTCCAGCAGAGAAGGGGGAACGCGGTGCACTCAGGGAAGTGGCGGGGCCGGGGCAGGGATTTGGGGAAGGAGTCCAATATGGGCAGGGAGGGTGGAGTTGGGGCAGGGACTTTGGGGAAGGGGTTGGGATGGGGGTAGGGCAGGGGTGGAGTCGGGGACGCGCAAGCACTCATCAGCGCCTGGAAAAGTTGGCATCTATGCTGCAATTGCGTTGCTGAGGTTGTTCTGTAGGGACAAGATATGCCCCAGGGTGCCCAATAAAGCCAAGGTAGGTTGGCTGGCCTATGTCACTGGAGGCCAGCAGGGTGGACTCCCTAGAAGAATATCCCTAGAATGAAATCTATGCCTAGAGTGTTAGAACTCCACCCTGGAATCCCATTCAGGAGTTATCGGAGATGAGTGTCTATAGCCCAAGTATAGTAATGGAGATTCCTCCCTGCTCCTGGCTGACTCAGATGAAAATGAATAATCTTCTAGTGAAGCCACGGTGGTACCAGATGGAGTAGCTAGAGGAATAACCTCAGAAGATTTCTCCCATACTGGGTGGCTTATGCATCAAAGTCTGTACCAGTACTCCTGACTACCACCCACCAAGCTGAGGAAAAAAAGCAATTGAAAGTCAAGGTGTCATCAAGTCCTTAGCTGCCCTACCTGCCTGTGGCATCAACAGTACTGAGAGAAAACATCAATAATGACAGGGACAGTAACAAACAAGTAGTCTAAGGCATAAGTCAGTACCAGTTCTTCAGGCACCAGGACAGTCAGTGCCAGTAAAGTGGAGAGTGGACAGACTGTATTGAAGCCAGACTGGACAGAATTGAAGTATTGGCATCGTCGTGGCTGTACTGAGCCAAGAGGTGGCAGTACCCAGAGGGCTTAGAAGAAGGTGGCTTGGTGCTGAGTGTAGGCAAGTTTTTTGCTTATTACAAGCAGCCCAGGCTTGTAGGCTGGACCGGCACCAGAGCAGTCAGTCTTAAGACTTCAAGATGCTCCTTTTGTTCAGTACCTTCAAACTTTAAAGGCACTAGAGGTCAGAAGAGGAGTTTTGACTCAACTCCACCACCATGCAGGAATACGGGATTATTTGGGCCTGAAGAATTTGGGTGTGGGCTAGTATGATTTGAGTTTCATTAGCCCATCAAGTTCCCATACTTCAAGTCAAATAATTACATCTTGGAAACTCAACCTAATTAAAAGCTACATATTTTATAGCAATCCTACTCATACTGCATCGAGTTTCACCCCAAAAAGAATGAAAGTACTACGCAAGAGTAAAACAAATAGAATCTAGCACCATTTCATACATACATACATACATACATACACACACACACACACACCTTATTTTGTAGTTTTTTTGGTAAGAATAATATTGTTCCATCAAATGCATGTGTCCTCCCAATAATTTCTTCATGCTGAAAGAGTAAAGCTGAACGAAGACGCCGAGCTTCCATCTGAGGATTATAATCAATATGGTATTGATATAAAGCCCATTGTGGACGAGACGTCAACCGAAAATGGTTCGTACTTAATCTTATTGTGGTACCTGAAGTACCTAAAATGACAAAAATAGCTCGTTATAAAACTAAGTTTTTCCAATTTACAGCATTTCAACAATTCTGCAACTTTTAAATAGTGACACCCCACCCCAAAATTTAATTATTAAAACTTTTTCTGAACTATTTCAACTCTACTAACTAGGGAAATCATGCAAGTCCTCTTTCAGACACATCCAGCAGGTGGCTGCCAGTGTCAAATTTCCAGAGATTCTATAATCCTATCACCTGCTGGAGAAGTGCCATATAGAATGAGAACAGCATCCAGTCTGGTATTGCGTCACTTAAAGTAGAATGTAGGTGCTTCAGAGAAAGATGCTAGAGCTCCTGTAAACAATTACAACTTGTCCATAGTGGGCATCTCTTCCTTACCCCAAGCAGTTAGTGGTTGGCTTATTCCACAAAGCACAAGTGTTTATCAACGTAACTGTGCATATTTTAATCCACTCAAGATGCCAGTTTATTTTTGCACTTACTAAGCTCTGACTCAATACAACGTGGCAGTAAGTACCACAAATTAGTTATGCACTTTAAGTTATACTTCCTTACACATCAGTTTACGTTGCTGCATTTCTATTCACTGAGTGTCCCCCCAGACTCATTAAAATGGCAAGCCCAATTTTCCTTCAATACTGTACCATTTATTTACACTCCTCTAGTGCTCAAGAGGAAAACCCGCAATATAATCAAGACAAGACCACCACTAGTAGTTAAATTTCTGTCACTGGTGTAAACCCCTCCAAGAATCAGCTTCTAAGAGGAAATTTGCACCACCAGTGCAGCCTGCAACTGCCTAACATTACCCACCAAAGAAGGGGTAAATAGCTAACAGAAGCTCTCTCTCTTATCCAACCTGCTGTGTTTGCTAAGGCAGAATTGTCATATGTATCCTCTAATCAAATAATGCTTTGAAAACCCAGGAAATAACTCCGGGGGGGGGGGGGGGAGAAAGAGCTTGGAGGGCTGCAGCAAATAACTCTGCTGCATGTTTGAGACCCCTGGTGTTTAGATTCCTGTCTAAGCCTTCTTAGAAAAGAAAAAGAAAGTAGAGGATCCAGGTCCTGAATTTAAAAAGGATTACTCCTGGGGCGGAATTCTGCACCAAAAACCTAAAAATTCTGCATATTTTGTGTGTCAAAACAACAATATAATCACACCCTCTTCAATTATTTTAGTAATTTATTTCAAAATACCTGTCAGCAAGTATGTCTGAAACAATAAGGACAACTAAAAAGATTCAGAAAACGTATGACAAATCAATTTCTTACTAGGCATATTAATACAGAACTTTAAGTAATAGTACATTTAAACTATAATGCACAGGAACATATTTCCTGCACCGCTCAGAAGCAGTGCAAAGGCTTGGGGTAGTTAGGGGTAACAGAGGCACTGAGGGAGAGGGACGTAATTCCTGGGAAGGAGCCTGGGATCGAACCTGGAGGGTTGCTGGGTGTGGGCGGGATAAGTATGGAAAAAACGGTTACTCTCCTTTGTAACTGTTGTTCTTCGAGATGTGTTGCTCATATCCATTCCAATTAGCTGTGCATGCGCGCCGCGTGCACGATCATTGGAGAATTTTCTACCCTAGCAACACCCGGTGGGTCGGCTGTGGAGCCCCTTGAGTGGCACCTTCATGGCGCTGGATATATACCCCAGCCGGCCCAGTGCCCCCTCAGTTCCTTCTTGCTGGCTACTCCGACAGTGGGGAAGAGGGGCGGGTTTGGAATGGATATGAGCAACACATCTCGAAGAACAACGGTTACAAAAGGTGAGTAACCGTTTTTTCTTCTTCGAGTGCTTGCTCATATTGATTCCAATTAAGTGACTACCAAGCCTTACCTAGGCGGTGGGGTTGGAGTGAGACATCGCTGAGTGCAAAACTGCTAATCCGAATGCAGCATCGTCTCTGGACTGCTGTACAAGCGCATAGTGAGCCGCGAAGGTGTGGATCAATGACCAAACCGCCGCTCTACAAATGTCCTGGATCAGGACATGAGCCAGGAAGGCAGCTGAGGAGGCTTGGGCCCTCATGGAGTAGGCGGTGAGGCGTGGCGTCGGGGCACCGGCCAGGTCGTAGCAAGCACGAATGCAGGATGTGAGCCAAGAAGAAACGTTGCGAGGAGACCGGTAAGCCTTTCATCCGGTCGGCCACTGCAACGAAGAGTTACGTCGTCTTCCTAAACGGCTTTGTACGCTCAATATAGAAAGCAAGGGCCCTGCATACGTCCAAGGAGTGCATACGCTGGTCTTGGCGCGTGGCGTGCAGCTTAGGATGGAAGACCGGGAGAAATATATCCTGGTTCACATGAAAAGCTGATACCACCTTGGGAAGAAAGGCAGGGTGGGGGGGGGGAGGGAAGCTGCACCTTGTCTTTATGGAAGACTGTGTATGGAGGCTCAGACGTGAGCGCCCTGATTTCAGAAACACGCCTTGCTAAAGTGATGGCTACAAGGAAGCCTGTCTTCCAAGACAGGTAAAGGAGTGAGTAGGTAGCCAATGTCTCAAAAGGGGGCCCTGTGAGCTTGGAGAGAACCAGGTTAAGATCCCACGCCAGAACTGGTTGACGTTGCTCTGGGTATAGACTGTCTAAGCCCTTGAGGAATCTGACGACCACTGGGTTAGAGAAGACCGAGAAGCGTGTTCTCCTGGGTGGAACACCGATATAGCGGCCAGGTGAACCCTGACCGAGGATATCGCCAAGCCCTACTGTTTTAGGGATAGGAGATATTCAAGTATAAGTGGAATTGACGCCTGCAAGGGGGGCGTGGCTCGCTGCTCGCACCAACAGGAGAACTCTTCCACTTGGCTAAGTAAGTGGTCCGTGTAGAGGGCTTCCTACTTCCCAGCAGAATCTGTTGCACAGGATGTGAGCATCGCAGCTCTGCCAGATTCAGCCATGTAACATCCATGCCGTAAGGTGGAGTGATTGCAGGTCGGGGTGACAGAGTCGGCCATGGTCCTGAGAGATCAAGTCTGGGCACAAGGGAAGCGTGATCGGAGTTTGTACCGATAGCTCCAGAAGCGTGGTGTACCAGTGCTGTCTTGGCCAAGCTGGAGCGACTAGAATCATACATGCCTTGTCTCTGCGTAGCTTGAGCAGTACCCTGTGGACCAGTGGGACTGGAGGGAAAGCGTAGAACAGCTGGTCTCTCCACGATAGGAGGAAAGCGTCCAACAGGGAGCCCGGAGATCGCCCTTGGAGGGAGCAGAACACGTGGCACTTCCTGTTGGCTCGTGAGGCGAACAGGTCGACCTGGGGAAATCCCCACCTCTGGAAGATGGAATGGATGATATCCGGGCAAATCAACCACTCGTGTGTCTGGAAGGATCTGCTGAGACGGTCCACTAGAGTGTTCTGGACTCCAGGGAGGAACGATGCCATGAGATGTATCGAGTGGGCAATGCAGAACTCCCACAGGCGAATGGCCTCTTGGCATAGGAGAGACGACCGGGCTCCTCCTTGCTTGTTGATGTAGAACATGGCCGTGGTGTTGTCTGTGAGGACTGACACGCAACGGCCATGTAGGAGACTGAGAAATGCCTGACAGGCTAGGCGCACCGCCATCAGCTCCTGAACATTGATGTGCAGAGCCAGTTGGGATGCGGTCCACAGGTCCTGGGTATGGTGTTCCCCGAGGTGAGCGCCCCAACCTAGAGATGAAGCGTCTCTGACCAGGTGCAGGGAGGGTTGCAGGGCGTGGAATGGCACTCCTGCGCAAACCGCCTTGTGATCCAGCCACCAGTTGAAAGAGGTCAAAACCGGGTTCGGAACCATGCCCACCATGCTCAGGTTGTCCCGATAAGGACGGTACACCAATGATACCCAGGCCTGAAGTGGGCGAAGCCGAAGTCTGGCATGCCTGGTTACGTAAGTGCAAGAGGCCATGTGTCCCAACAGGCAGAGACACGTCCTTATCGTGGTGATCGGGAAGACCTGGAGTCCGTGGATGATGTTTGTGATGGCGTGAAACCGAGTGTCTGGTAGAAGAGCTCTGGCGATTACGGAGTCTAAGACTGCCCCGATAAACTCTATTCTCTGGGTTGGCTCCAGAGTGGACTTTTCTTCGTTGAGCAGAATGCCTAACTCGCGGAACGTTCGTAGTATTATCTGAACGTGAACGTGAACCTGATCTCTGGTGCGGCCGCACACCAGCCAGTCGTCTAGATACGGGAATACCTGTATCCTTTGAGTACGAAGGTATGCTGCCACGACAGCCATACATTTGGTGAAGACTCTCGGAGCCGCAGACAAGCCGAAGGGAAGGACAGAAAATTGGTAGTGCACCTTGTTTACTACAAACTGCAGGAAGCGCCTGTGCTGCGGGGGTAGACTGCTATATGAAAATATGCGTCCTTCATGTCGAGGGCAGCGTACCAGTCCCCAGGATCCAGGGAAGGGATGATGGTCCCCAAGAAGACCATGCGGAACTTCAACTCTACTATGAATTTGTTGAGTCCGCGTAAATTTAAAATGGGTCGCAGACCCCATTTTGCTTTGGGGATCAGGAAGTAGCGGGAGTAAAACCCCCCGCCCCTTAACTCCGATGGAACCTCCTCTATGGCCCCCATAGAGAGGAGCCCAAAAACCTCCTAGATAAGGAGATGCTCGTAAGAAGGGCCCCTGAAGAGGGACGGGAAGAGAGGGTGGGGGGGGAGAAAACGAAGAAAACTGGAGAGCGTATCCCCCTTCCACCATGCGAAAGACCCAACGGTCTGAGGTTATACGGGACCAAGCATGGTGGAAACGGGAGAGGCGATCCTGAAATAAAGGAAATGGATCCTGGGTAGTGGCTAGTACGCCGTCCTCGAGCGCACCTTCAAAAATTTTGCCTAGGGCCTGAAGGTGGTCTAGGAGGCCCTTGGTTCTAACCCGGTTGGGGGCCGGTCTACCTCCGTCTACCACCTCGTCCCCGCCTTCTGGGGAAGTCCTGTCTAGGACGAGGGGGAGGGTAGAACCTTTGTGGCTGGGGCCTAAAGGGCCTGCGCTGGGGTCCTGGGACATGCATCCCCAGGGAGCGCATGATGGTTCTGGAGTCCTTGAGGCTCTGCAAACGAGAGTCCGTCTTGTCCAAGAACAATCCCTGTCCCTCGAACGGCAGATCCTGCAGGGTCTGCTGCAGTTCTGGCGGTAACTCCGAAACCTGGAGCCAGGAGACAAGTCGCATGGCTATTCCAGATGCTAGTGTTCTGGCGGCCAAATCCGCTATGTCTAGGGAGGCCTGCAAGGAGGTCCTAGCCACCTTTTTACCTTCCTCCACTAAGGCCGCGAACTCCTCTCTCGAGTCCTGGGGAACCAACTCTTTGAATTTACCCATGGAGTTCCATGAGTTGTAACTGTAGCGGCTCAAGAGTGCCTGTTGGTTCACGGCTCTGAGCTGCGGACCCCCCACTGAGTAAACTTTACGCCCGAACAAATCGAAGCGTTTGGCGTCCTTCGATTTGGGCGCTGCTGCTTGCTGACCATGGCGCTCTCTTGCGGTCATTGGGGACACGACTAGTGAACACGGTGGAGGGTGCGTATATAGGTACTCAAGGTCCTTGGAGGGGACAAAGTACTTCCTCTCTACACCTCTGGCAGTGGGTGGGATGGAGGCAGGGGTTGCCATATAGTATTGGCGTTAGCCTGAACCATACGAATTAGTGGTAATGCCACCCGGGATGGGGCATCAGCCGACAGGATGCTCACCACCAGGTCCTGTACCTCCACTATCTCCTCTGCCTGCAGGTCCATGTTGCGTGCCACCCTATATAATAGGTCTTGGTGGGCATGGAGATCTATTGGGGGTGGGCCAGAAGCTGTTGTGCCCGCCACCGCCTCATCCAGGGAAGATGAGGATGCCGCCTCAGGGGGTAAGGAATCCAAATGAGGGTCCGGCTCTAAGGGTCCCTGATGTGAAGGATCTCCTGCCCCAGGGTCTGGGGTCTGTGCTGGTGTTGGCACAGGAGCCTCCATGCGCCCTGGGGGAGGACGGGAGATGGTGGCCTCCGGAACTCTGGGCTCAAATTGTGCTGAGCGAGAGGCCGCTGGTGGAGCCCCTTGCGCTTGGTGATACACCCACGGGGTCCAGAAAGACCAATGCACAGGGTCCTGTGTAGGGTCCTCTGCCCCCTCCTGCCAATGACCCAAGTCGTCGGCAGCCTGACCCTGAGCAGGGTACGCCGATCGGGAAGCCCCGTCGGACGAGCGAGACGCCGATCTTGAGGACCAGGGCAGTGCCGAGCGTGGTTACATCGGCTCAGCCCGGTATGGTGCCGGTCCACAGGCGAGTGGTCTCTGCGCGGTGCCGGTGAGCGGTACCGGGATCGAGAGTGGTGCCGAGAGTGGCCATGCCAGTACCGGCCATGCCGGTACCAAGATCCGGATCTGGATGACGAAGCCTGCCTGTAGGCTCGGTGCCGGGAGCAGCGCTCGTACCGCTGCCGAGAACTGCGTCTGGACTCCGATCGCTACCGATGCTAAGGATGGTGCCGAGACGTAGACCAGTGCCGGGAAGAAGACCTAGGCCACGAGTACGACCGGTGCCAAGATGAAGATCAGCGCCGGGACTGCGAGCGGCGTCGGGACCTGCTCCGAGACTGGGAGCAGTGCTGCGAGTCCAGGCTCGTAGATGGTGGCCGTACCAGGGCAGGCTTGTCCCTGGATTGCACGGTCCGAAGGGCAGGCGGTGCCGCAGGCTGAGACGGCGCCGGCTCCGTGAGGGCGATGAGGTCTTTCGCTGTCGCGAAGGTCTCCGGAGTAGAAGGGAGACAGGGCTCCACCACAGAACAAGGCGGTGAGCCAGTCCGCACCAGACTCAATGGCCCTACCCCCGGTGCCGGAGTCAACGGTGTTGAGGATGTCTGCGCCCTCTGGCATTCCAAAGTCGAACGCAGCTCTACCACCAGTGCCAGGGGAGCCGGTGCCTGTAGGAGAGCGACGTCCTACATCTTGCAGGGTCTTTTATGTCCCGGAGACAGGGAACGGCGCCGAGGCGCTTGTGGTGGACGCGGTGCCGTGCCGAGGGAGGATGGTGCCGTGAGGCTTTATCCGCGTCTGCTTGTGGTGCAGTACTGGCGGGTGCCGCCGGGGCACTGCGCACCGAGGCACTCGGTGCCGGGACTTGGCGCGCTGAAGGAGGATCTGGGCAAAGTGCCGCCTCCATAAGGAGCTGCTTGAGTCTGAAGTCCCGCTCCTTTTTGGTTCTGGGTCTGAAAGCCTTACAGATTTTACACTTATCTGTCTGGTGAGACTCCCCTAAGCACTTCAGACAAGAGTCGTGAGGGTCTCCCGTTGTCATAGGCTTAGCACAGGTCACGCACGGCTTAAAGCCAGGAGCCTTGGGCATGAGCCCGGCTGTGCGTCGGGGGAAAAGGTGGGGGACAAATATCCCCCTTAACCCCCGCTAACTATTTACAACTATTTATACTAGTGAACAAACTATTAACAACAAACTACTAATCTAAAGAATATAACAACAACTATCTAGAATAACTAACGAGTAAAGCTAGGGAGAGTGGAGAACAGCTATGCCATGCTCCACAGTTCCAACGACCATCATGGCGCTGGATATATACCGCAGCCGACCCACCGGGTGTTGCTAGGGTAGAAAATTCTCCGACGATCGTGCACGCGGCGCGCGCACACCTAATTGGAATCGATATGAGCAAGCACTCGAAGAACAGGGGGGAGGGGTTGTGGGGGTTTTTTTGGGGGGGGGGGGAGGGGATTGTTAGGGAGCCTCTCCCATGCAGATCCTGGCTGACCCCTAGCCTCTCCCACTCACTCAGAGACACATCTGCCTCTGTCCCTGTGTGTTCCTGACCTCCACCCTAATCCCTGCATCCCTCCAATACCCATCCCATCCCCATGTGTCCCTGCACCTCCACTTCCATCCAATGCGGTCACCCCACTAGCTCTTGTGCCCGTTTCAGTCTGTCCACCCAACTAGCCCTTCTGAACCCCAGTCTTTAACCCCCCAAACAGTCTCATGTGCCCTGCTCTGTCCATCCTCCCATATCCTGTGCTTCCTCATCTGGCCCTGCAGATAAGGCGCTGTGAGGAAAGCAGCCAACTGCCCCCTTCCTCCCTGGCTCGCTGCTCCAGCACTGAGCCAGCTGCCCTCTCTTTTGGCACCACAGCAACCCTTGGTGAGCAAAAGGTGTAACTGCAGTGCCTCCCCCGTGGAATGCATTTTCTGCAGTGGGTGGGAGGAGAACCTGTGGGGGACATGAATTATGCGAGTGGGCAGTGGCGCAGTATTCCCCCAGAAGTAAAGGATGTTTACAAATATGGAGAGACAATTCAGGACACAGTCAACTTTAAACATTATAGTCTATACAGGTCAAAACTGAACATCAGAATGAAATCTGGGCAATTAGATTTGTTAAGAATATCAAGTCAACATGCACCTATTAACTAGTAGCAGAGGAATACTAAAAATGACCCTTTGCATGTAACTGAAGTTTAATAATCTGGAGAAGTTTGCAAAAGTTACCAGGGGAGAGCAGCACATTTTAGATAGCCCCTTTGAAACTAAAGAGAAAAACTAAACGAGCAAGTTGGGGTGATTTAATTTCAATAAATAACTGTCAAGTTTTTAGCTAAAAGAGACCCCCAATAAATGTGCAACAAAAATATATAATAGAACCAACAGAGGTATCCTCAAATGAAAATGTCTTGTTCCTGCTGAAACACTTAACATTTTAAACCCTTTGGAGCAAGGTCAGTTTTTTCTACTATTTCTCCCCCAGCTTTTACAGCATTCCTAATGCAATGAAGTCCTGGTCCCTGATTTGGCCTTCTAGGCACTACTGAAATATAAATAATCCTAGTTTAAACAACTGTTGAGACAAAGCCAATGGCAAATAATGCTCATAGAAATATAGTGTACATTTTATATTTGAAACCACAATTTTAACTTACCTGTTTTTGACTCTTTAACATGTTCTATGGCTTGCCGCGTATTTACCCCAAGGTCATAGAAATCTCTGCGACGTCCACCCCTATCTGCTAATGACAATTCCTGAAAACCAACTGAAATCTCTCGTCCTGGAATTTTGGGGAGAGGGGAAATTAATATAAATCATGATAAAATTAACCAATTTATTAAACCATTACAATGTGAAATACAAACAAAAGAATGCTGAGGACTCTAAGAACTGAACCCTTGAACAGAAGAAGCCAGAACAGTTGCCATAGCACAATCAATCTGAAGGAGCCTGAAGGTTGCTTCAACTCTCAGAACAATGGCATTATAAAAAAAAAATCTGTAGGTACTTGAGATGTATTTTACAACTCTAAAAGTGCTATAGGGCTAAGGGTTAGACTGAGTCAGGTATTACACAGAGTTAAAATAGCAATGAAGAGAGCTGGATATACTTTAAATCCTAATTTTCAACAATTTGGGATTTAGTATTATTTGTTAAAACTTAATTTCAATTGTGAAATATGCCAAATTTCGACCCAGGTTCTCAGATATTTTTCCTGTAACCTATTGCATTTCAACAAAATATTTAAAGGGAAAAAATTACTTGTAACTTGAGTTTTCAAATGATGTCTGCACTCATACTATAAACTCAAAACTCATTCAGAGAAATGTGACAGGTGTCTGGGGCCCCCGGAACTGAGGTAGATCCATTCTACCATTATAAGAACTGCTTTATCTTGTGGTGTAATTGTCTGAAGGCTCATGGGTTGCTATTAGATTGGCTGTACTTCCAGATCCATATGCAGTATCTACATGGAGCCAATGTGTTATCACTTTCTTCTTTCTGTACGCAGTAAAATAAGCCTGCTTTGTGTAATACTAGTATGCCTTAAGATCTCCTGGGAATGAGCGTACATCTGGAACCTGAAGAGCATGAACCTCTTTGAGCAGTGATATCAAAACTGGCTACATCAACCTCTTTTGGGGCCTATATAGAGATTAAATGCTCTAATTCTTCTCAATGGAGTGTTAACTCTTAAATTCAGTGACACTTTAAAAGAATTTCAATCCAATTTGTATAGTTATTACAACTATAGTTGCATGTGCAAGTTGTCAAAGAAGAAACTGTAGTGGTTCTAGAAGTGTGTTGCATCATTTCTACGCTCCTCAACCAAGCAATGCTGAAAGCAAGCCATATGGTAACTTGTGTATTTAAAACTATCCTAATGTAAGTATTTACTAAGGCAGTCAATTAATGGCAGTTAACACATGCGATTAACTCAAACCAAATTAACGCTTTATTTTTAACAAGCTTTAAATCGCACACCACATGACCCTATCCCATAGTCTGTGAGCAATTTGGTAGAGCTCATTAAAAACCTGCTGGGGGGGTGGCGGGGAAAGAGGAGCCCAGCCCCCCCAACACCTGCACCATCCCCTCCCTGCTGTACAGGTCCAGCCTTAGGGGTCAGCAAGGGGGCCACCACCCAGGGTGCAATGCTCGTGGGGTGCTGGCTACAGGCCTCCAGGGCAGGGGTGCCTCTCCCCCTGCTGTCCTGCTCCATTGCTGCTCCTTCCTCCTTCCCCCCTCCTCCATGGAGCCGCCCCGGCCAAGCTGCTCCCAGACTGATTAAAACTGATTAATTGCGACCTTTAAAAAAAAAAAATACTTGTGATTAATCATGATTAATTTTTTTAATTGTTTGTCAGCCCTAGTATTTACTAGTAATTCAGGATAGAAAAAAATTGAACAGGTAAAACAAGTTATGTAAATATATTCCATTTCCTAATCACAAGAAATTCCAGTCTGCTTGTTTAACTTCAACCCTCAACTGGCAAAACCAATTAAAACCATGTGCTCTGAAAAACGGTTTCTTATACAGAGCTTTCAATCTCCACCATTTGCCAAAAGAAAAGAGATACACTCAGGACTATTAATTCTATGACAGCAAAGACAACTAGAGCCAGGCTATAGAATAAGCAGGTCCCAACAGTAAGCTTTGCTTTCTTTATCTAGCTCCATCAAAGTTCAGGCTGTTTGAGGAATAATGTGCCATTATGAGACATCAGAAAAATTTTTAGTACTTCTGATTTTTTTCTTCAAAATCAGAATAATTAGTTAAATCTGAAATGCCATCTTGAATATATATTTAATTATCTTAGTTAAATCATTAAGTCTTCTAAATACTTGTTCTGTAGGCAATAAGCTTCACTTCCTGCTCCCCTCCACCTCACCTTGTGGAACAATAGGAGCTCCTCTTTGTCGTCCACGGCCAACAAATTCTCCCTCTGATGGCGGTTGTGGTTGAGGTTGCAAAGGTCTAGGTTGCACATAGCTAGGTGGCTGCTGACCCTGCAAAGTCCATTATGCTTAGGAACAGCACTCACTGATATCACAAAGAAAACCTGTACTATCAAATGAAGTCACCAGAGGGTGTACTGCATAGCCAAGTTCCTATGACAGTTATTTAATATAGGGAAAAAATTAATTGCCTATAGGTTATTTAATATAGAGTGACATATTAACCTAAGTTACCAAAAAGTTATTCAGTAAAATTGCTCGTTCAGTTTGGAAGACAACACTACAGAAACATACCCTCACCCCCTGAAAATGGCATAATTATTCTGCATATAGCAGTGCTGTATCACTGGTTAACTGAAGCTGGCTTCAAGCTGCTCTCCACCACGTCCTCCCTCTCTCTCTCTCTCTTTTTTATTATTATTAAATAAAAGGGCTCCTGCAATTATTGCAATCGGAGGAACATGAAATGCAATTCCTGGTCCCCAAAGATACTACAGAAAATACCACAAAAACTACAGGGAAAAAGGCAGTTGACTATGCAGAAAGGAAGCCTGTTATACATAACATATTTTAGAATAACCACATTTTATATATATATATATATATATATGCAACTCATCAGGAGGCAGCATCTTCTGTGTTCCATATACTGCTGAATACAGCACTCAAACTCAGGCATCTGAGGGATCTACCTGTCCTTATGGAAAGTAATTCCTATCTATGAAGTTTAGCACACTGCCAAACCTCTCAGGAAGGCACAAAGGTCATTAGCAAGTCAATGACACCTACACCCACAAAGCTTTAAAGGAATATACCACCTTTACTGTGGCAGTGCATTTGCTTATCAGTCATGTGAGGCAAAAACAGGTTTGATTTTAAATGAAACCCTTGATACATATACAACTATATGGGAAGCAGACAACTCTGAATTTTAATATTTCAAAATGTAGATGTGCTGGATGTGAAAAATGAACACTCACAGAAGCTGCTCCTACAGGAGGTACAGAAATTTGCTGGCCACGAGCTCTTCCTCTCGCTCTAGCTCTAGCTCTTCCAGTCATTTTCTTTTCTAAGAGAAACCAGCTATAGTTATAGGACACAATCCTCAGTTTTTTTCATGACAGTATAATTTTTAGCAGAGTTTTTTTTGGTATCTTGTTCAGTATAAGAGAAAGATTAATCTAGCTAGATTAGCCCAGCCATTGTGTGCTAGGGTCCCTGTTTACACTACTTTAAAAAAAAAAATTTCTGTTGCCACCAAGGGGATCACTACTTTAGTTAAGGTGATGGCAGCTGCCAGAATTCTCAGTAGTGTGTTGTACAGCTGTGCTTTGATGCAATCCTACAAACATTTAAACACACGTAACTTTAGCAACACGACTCAACTGAAATCACTGCAACTAAGTAAAGTTATGCACATGCTTAAGCGTCTGAACCAGAGGTCGGCAACCTTCGGTCCGTGGTAAGCCCCCTGGCGGGCCGGGGCAAGCCAGTTTGTTTACCTGCCGCCTCCGCAGGTTCGGCCAATCGTGGCTCCCATTGGCTGCAGTTCACCGTTCCAGGCCAATGGGGGCTGCGGGAAGCGGTGCGGGCCCAGGGACGTGCTGGCTGCGGCTTCTCACAGCCCCCATTGGCCTGGAATGGCGAACTGTGGCCAGTGGGAGCCGCGATCAGCCGAACCTGCGGGTGCAGCAGGTAAACAAACCAGCCTGGCCCAATAGGGGGCTTACCCTGGCAGGCCACGGGCCAAAGGTTGCCAATCCCTGGTCTGAACAATAGATACCCTGGGCTTTAAATAGTGACAGTCATCCAGTCCCCTGTAGCAATGGATTTCATTTATTTATTTAGTGTGAAGTTATGGTTTAGGCAACCCAGATGACAGCTTCTGCAAACTACTCCCATACATAATAATAATAATAATAAAAAATAAAAAAACCTGTTAGAGAACATTTTAAAACTGCAAAAAAGTTAAACAAGCAAAGCACTTCTGAGCAAGACTGAAATTGGCAAGGTTGAGTAAGGAATATACTGAACATTGCACAGAATATTGACTGGTTTCTCAAACCCGTCCAACTGCTCCCAAGAGTGACCTATGGCTAAGTTACACTGAACAGCCCTAGTTCTCTTTATGATATGTAACTATGAATTCGTAAGCTTGGACAGAGAGGAAAATTTTCAGTTGACAACTGCATAGTCTGTATACCAGAATTCACAGAAGTAGTGGAGTACATGACACCATAAGACACTTTACTCAATTTAAGTCAGTGTTCAAAAAATTACTTTTAAATAATTTTCAGGCTTAATGAAAAATGGCCTACAATTCCATGCGTTTTTTAAACTGAGCAGCTGCAATGCCCCATATTAGTCTCCTTAAAAAGCATGGTATTAACTAATATATCATCCATCATCATAGCAGTCAGGCACTTTATAAATACAGTCTGCTAGTATTTTAACATATTAGTTCAATGGTTCTCAAAGTTTTGTACTGGTGATCCCTTTCACACAGCAAGCCTGAGTACAACCCCCTCTTATAAGTGAAAAACACTTTTATAAATTTAACACCATTATAAATGCTGGAGGCAAAGCAGGGTTTGGGGTGGAGGCTGACAGCTCGCGACTCCCCATGTAATAACTTCACGACTCCCGGAGGGGTCCCAACCCCCAGTTTGAGAACCCATGTATTTAGGGTTACCATTCGTCCGGATTGTCCCAGACATGTCTGGCTTTTGGGGTTAAAAATAGCATGGGAAGGAGGGGAATTTGTAAATATCTAAAAATGTTCGGGATTCTCCCCCCCCCCGCAGCACGGCTGACAGGGCGCCTGGCCGGACTGAGCCACTCGCATGGGGCTCCGGCAGCCAGAGCCTCTCCTCCGCTTCCCCCCTCCTCTCCCCTGCAGCTTCAGATCACCTCCTCCTCCTCCGCTCCCCCCTCCCCCCTGCTGCCCAGCGTGCCGCAGGATAGGCCTGGGAGTCCTGGGGTAGTCTTTCTGGGGGCGGGGGGTGTGGATAAGGGTCTGAGCAGTCAAGGGACAGATAGGGGGTGGGATCCTGGGGGGCAGTTAGGGGCAGGGATCTCAGAAGGGGGCAGTCAGGGGACAAGGGAGGGGGGGAGGTTGGAAGTTCTGAAGGGGGCAGTCGGGGGCAGGAAGTGGGAGGGAGTGGATGGGGGCAGGGCTAGGGCGGGGCTCCCCCCCATCCTCTTTTTTGATTGTTGAAATATGGTAACCCTACCTGTATTAGTTGTTTGTTCAGCTTAGACTCTCCCTCAGAGACCAATCCCTAATCTCATTAGAAGCTTGGAAGAGGCAGCCTTGCAGAAGAATGCCCCGCTCTGGAACAGAATTCATTTACATTTTATTCCCCCTCCCTCCATTTCCCTACAGCGCACACAGCCTGTTCCCTGTTCTAGCCCCAATCCCCCTCTGCAGGCCGTAGCCCTAGTGCCCCCCCACACACACAAGGCGCTCCCCTGCCCCCAGGCTCCCCTTCCCCAGTCCTAGTGCCCCCTCCACACACTAGGAGCTCCCCACCCACAGTACCACCCCTACTTAGCCCTAGGGGTTCGCCATCCCCTCACCCACAGGGCTAGTGACCCGCTCGTCCCTACCCCGGGCTCCTCCCAGTTTGCTCTACCCCCAATGAACAAAGTGCCCCCACGCTTGCTAGCACTGCCAGACCCCATTCCCTACAACCTGCCCCTTGCCCCGCTGCGCAGCCCTAGGCCTCTCCCCTTCACCCAGCTCAGGCAGCCACCCGCCTTCATTTCTCCAGGACTAGTTACATAAGCCCCAACCGAGGTAGGGGATCCACTGGCTTCTGACTGCAGGCGGCAGGTAACCCCGATGCCCAGGGCCGGCTCCAGGCACCAGCCCACCGAGCTTGTGCTTGGGGCGGCACCGGGAGGGGCTCGCCGCCCTCCCCCAGGACTCCGACCGCGCTGCCAATGCCGGGCTCCTCCCGCCTCGCTATCAGCGGGAGAACGACTGTTAGTACCTGCCCACCACTTCGGCTCACGCGGCCGCAACAAGAAGCACGTACCGGCCCTCCCAACGGTCATCACGGCCTCCTCACTGGGGCGAGCAGAGTGAGGCTCACTCCGCCGGCTGCGCCACCTCCTCCTGCCGCTTCCTTAAGGACAGCGGAATCCGCCTCCGCCGCTTCCACGAATTAGGCGAGGGGTTTCTCAGTACCCGTCGGGCTCATCTCCTCTCTTGGCAGGGCAGAGCCTGGGGATTCATTTTCTGAGCGAATGCGCACATCACATAGAGAAAGTGAGGCGACCCCGTCTTCGTGCAATGAGAGCGGCGCGTGGCGGAGAGCAAAAGAGAGGGAGACGGGATCGCCTCTGATTGGACCGCGACGCCGCGAGTGCCCGCCTCTCGGAGAGCCGAAAGCGATCCCGCGTTTCCGAAGATTTCCGAAAGGGGCTAGCGGACGCGCCCGAAGAGTCGAGGCTGCCGAAGATTTCCGAATGGGGCTGGCGAGGGAGCGGAGAGTGCCGAGAGGTGGCGGAAGGCTCTGGCCTGATGGCTTCCCAGGGGAGGAGCGGGACTTGGGTTCCGAAAGCGGGAACCACGTGTTAATTTACGTGTGGGTGCAGCTCCCAATGCAGCGTTGTTATTATTTGATCAAATTAATTATTTTGTATTATTAATTAATGATCATCCACTTAATTATTAATCAACCCTATTAATGCTTAATCAAATGGCCAGTGTTACTAATTAACAGTCAACCCTATTGTATCAAATAATAATGCCATCCTGGCAGCTATTTCTTCTGCCTAGCAATCATTTTGGAGAGTATGTGGGCCAGATTTACCAGAGGCATACATGAAAAACTCCAGTGGAGTTGCATCCTCTTTTTCACCATTTTCCTAGGGTTACCATATTTTAATTTTTAAAAAGCAGAACATTCCATTGGGCCCCGCCCCAACTCCACCCCTGCCCTGCCCTCAGCCCTGCCCCAACTCTGCCCCCTCCCCTGAACACTCTGCCCCTTGCTCCTCCCCCTCCCCTGCTTCCCGCGAAACAATGTTCGCGGGAAGCCTGAAACAGGGAGGCAGCAGGTAGGCTGGGGCTGGGTGCGGCGCGGCCCAATCCGGCCCCCCTGGCCGAGCGGCTCCCTCCGGCGGCCG